TACAAGGCAAATTCTTATCGAGATAATCGAAAGCATTTTCTTCGCTTCCAACGCAATTTTAGTGTTGGTGCTTCTAATTATGTCTGGATCAAAGATTAGAGAGGCACATGAAAATATACGGGAACACTGCCTAGATTGGTGGATACGCTGTCGAAAGCACACACCGCCAACAGAAAGATTGGAAGTGCTGTTGTTATTGAAATCATTTGCAGAACGTCACGATATGGCGATGACTGCGGCTGGTGTAGTTTTCTTGTCTAGAAGTTTGTTTCTACAAATGTCAGCTGCTCTTGTAACATATGGTGTAATTATGATTCAGCTAGCTCCAATTACTGAACGATAAAATCATCCCTAAAATTCAGCGTTCATTTAAAAAAAAAAAAAAACATTCGAAAGACTGCTTAATGTTTAAATATGAAAATAAATAAATAAATAAATCGGAACAAGACTATTTTAAGTCCCTGCTATTTCTTATTTGTATCAAAGTGTTAATTTTTCATTTATTATGATTTATTAGTTTGGGGTGAGAAATACATAAATAACTTAAATGAACTTACATTCATGATAAATTAAATTCCCTCTAAATGAGAATAAAGTAATCTACCCACACAATCACCCAATAATTTACAAATCCATAATTTACGAATGCACAAGCTATGCCTGCATTTTCCAAAAATCCAAACACTTGTTAAAAAAAAAGGGAACACAATTAATTTGATAAAAAAGATCTAGCTAATTTTATTACATACCCAAAACTAGTAAGAACATTTTTCATAAAACTTTTCTAAGTTCATCACCTAAAATATTTAATATACTTTCTCTGGAAGTGAAAAATTGCTTGAATATTTTTAAAAACTACTGAAAAAATTTGCTTTTTCTATACCTAATATTGGAGATTTTTCTTTCTCAGTAATTTAAACAACATCTGATATTTTTCTGCATTCTGCATATTGTATTTTCATAGTTATTAATACCAAATTTTATGACTGAAACATTCAGCTTGTAGTAAGCCAGATGGGTATTTTTTACGAAACCTGAAATCCTAAATGTCATCTATGAATTTTAAATTTTATATTTGCACTTTTTTGTGTTGCATATGTTTCATTTCTTCTTTCGTGTGTATTTTTTCCCGTTACCTTTTTTTATATCATAATTCATCATATATTTACCTCCCTGGGCATTGTTTTGCCGCATTGAAATGATTGTAACAAATAATTTTTATAATATTTGGATAAGATATATAGATAATGACTTATTATATAAAGTACAATTTTGATTGCTTAATAGTGATACTTTTCCAAATAGATTAGCTAAGAAATTCACTGTAAGTATTGAAGGATAAAAAAATTTAAGTGATTAAATTGTTTCGTTTTTGGATACTTTGATTTTTAGCCAAGGAAATTACAATGAGCTATAAGTTTTTGCTTAAACTTTTTTTTTCATCATTCAATGATATTAAACACTTATTACCAGAAATTTGAAACAAAGAGTTGTAGTTATTAACATAATAAACAGTTAAAACTAGCAAATAAAATAGTTATCTGGTCTTCACACCACGCTCTCTAACCGCTTAACCGTGAGTGGACTTTTAAAGCTTTGAAATTGTCAGGAACCAGTGGAATATTTCAACAATAAAATAGGTTCCAAATCACTAAGTCAAGATCAATTTAAATGTTAAGAATATTAATTTGAAGCTTCAAATTCTTGTTTGGTAAAAAAATTATTAAAATAATTGGGAGAAATTCAGAAGATATTTAGTAAATTTACTAAAACTAAACAAAATTTAAAGTAGTAAATAACTTTGCATAACTTAATCAAACTTAAAAACCATGTTAATTCAGGATTTATGGAATATTTTAATAATTGTTTTTCTTGGTTCAGCCCATTTGAAAAAATAAAATCAACGTGGCACTTTGTTAATGCAATCCTGTGAAATACATTAGCATAATAAAGTTCATTAAATCGTGTTATTAATGAGAAAAATAATTTTGATGAACACATCATAACATAAAACTAGTATGAGAATTAGATTGCAATTTTTTTATTTTTGCTTGCTTAATGACAGCTAAAATACTTATTTAAAAAAAAAAAATTTGAGGAAAAAAACATGCAATTTTTGTTTAAAAAGAAAAGCTGATCAATAATTTAAAAACTTATATTAATTAGATTTTTACTTTGTTTATTTATTTAAATATTTCAAAAATTTACAAGACTTCAAGGCAGGTAAATAAATTAATTTTAAAAAAAAATATTAAAAAAAATTCCTAAAAAAGTAGAGAGAATCAAAACAACTAAAAGCTTTTACTGTCATAATATTTATAATTTATATTGAAACACTAATATAAAATTCTGTATTCAATGTCGAACTTAGGGGGAGGGAGAGAAATAATCATAAAAATTCCCAAAAACTGCTGAGGACTTGGTCTTTTGAAAAATCTAGTGTTCTTTCATTTATTTTTTTATTCATTTTTTCGCTGTTACTAATTTTAAAAAAATTACAAAGCAGATTTTTAAGTGAAAATAAGCCTTGATAACACATGTGTAAGCTAAAATGTTAGTATGCTTCTGAAAAAAGATATTTCAAAAATTAAAGTGTAAACTAAAGTTTAGAGGAAGACCTTTCCAAAGAATATGAAAATAAGAAAATAAGAGGGGCAAATAAGAAAGGGCCCACAAGAAATTTTATTCTGAGGCCCATAGTCTTGTCCACCTTGGTTTATATTAATAAACCATTTCATGCTCTTAATATTTACAGTATGAGAATGACAGATGAATGAGTTTGATGAATTTGACAGATGAATTTTGCAACATATTACCCCTTTAATATATGAAGTGCTTGTAACAATAATTAATCCAAATTCCAAAATTGTTCAGAATTTTTTTTCTACCATAAGTATATTTAGTGAAAACACCAGAATTTTTCAAGTTGATATTTGGAATTAAATGATTTTATAAATTTTGCTCCAATCTAGTGGAAATTCTGAAAACATGTCAGATACTCATGTGGAAACAATCATAACGCTAATGCTAATATGTTACCACGCTAATGCTAATATGATGTTAATATGTTACCTTTGAGAAAAGTTTAGCTTTAAACTATTCCCCCCCCCTCATATAAATAATAATCGACTTCAAATATAATTTTTTTTTACAAAATTTTAAATTCCACACATAATGAAAGATACAAATATTTTTTAAATAATATATCATGTCAATTTACAGAAAAAAAAGAAAAAGGAAGGCAAGGAATAAATATTGATCTAATGATTGGGCTTTTATGTAAATATGCCTTAAATATATAAATTAATTGAAAATATACCTTATATTTCAGCATAATAAGGGTCCTTTTTTGACGAATTCAGTCATTTAATACTGATACGTTTATTAAAAGTCATTCTTATTGCGAGAATTATGATGAGATCAGTTGAGAATTAGTATGACTTTGAACAAAAGTATCAATATTAAAAATAATTTAAGAAGCACTATTACAAATGCAATTTTTTCTTCATAACATTAAATAAAAAACCGAGACTGCTAACTTTAAAATCCTAACTAGAGGAAAGTTTAACAATTGGGTTATTAAACAATGCCTCAAGGAGTGAAACAGAAACATTTTTAGTCCAAGTTATCACGTAAAATCTTTCAAATTAATATTTCAATAGCAGTTGGGGAGTAAAAAAAAGGAATAAATTGAATTGAATGTAGGGTTTAGTGGCACAAGGTAAAAAGAGGGAGTACTAAGAAGAAAGCAAGTACCAAACTAACCCCCGTATTCACTGTTGACTCTGATCTACTGCGAAACTCCCAGTTCTGAAACCTCGGTTTAGAAAAATTGACCACGAGTCAAAAAGTGTATTCCTTATTATTTTTTGACCGTCAGTTTCGTAACAGCAGGTTTCTTAACTCTCTGTTAACTTGCACTCCGGTGGTAGATTTATAGCCTTATTAAGAGTGTTTGTTTTTAATTTACGTTGCTATTTTTAAAACAATTTTTCTAATGAAAGTAGAAAAAAAAAGATTGCATAAAGTAATTAAATTTGAATCACTCTTTTACTGAACAAATGAAAAAGATGCTAAGTTTCGCTTTCCTAACGGACTTGTATTGATGAGCAAAAGGGATCTGAGTTTTATTTATTATGAATTTAGATATTTTATTATTATGGATATCATAAAGCCGCACACAAACATAGAAATAATACTGAAATTCAATTAAAAATACTTTCATTTTACACAACGATCAAGGGGATTATGCTAAAATCATTCTCATCCTTATTCGCATATTTTTAATCTTTTTCTTTTCCTTCATAACATAATATCAATAACTTAAACCATTGAGAAGATAGAATCTTCTTTTTTTAAATGAAATTGTATAAAATAAACTTCTGTGCTCAGGTAAGCATAAATCAACACGTTCCTATTATTCAGAAGTTATAAATGACTATTATTGTGCAGTCATTCGCCGATGATAGAGAGAATCACCGCCAGGGATATGGTGAATAAGACAACAATTTTTTGAAAAGGCATAGGTAATAATCAGAACAAATATTCCAAAACTTTTAAAAAAATCATACATTTAAATTACATTAAAAATTTAATTATTTTAATAATTGTAAATGGAAATATATCAGTTACATACATGCCCCAGATGTCATAAAGTAGCCAGGATATATCTTTAAAAAGAAAAAAACTAAAGACGGACATTTTAACTTCATACAGTTTTAAGCAATTAATCTCTTCCAAATGATCATCCTATTTTTTCAAAATGCTCAGCAGATTATTTATAAAATTCTAAATTTCCTGATTTGCAAAGTTATTTGATGCAGATTATTGTGTAGTTCAAATGTTACCTCAGATTAAAGTTTGTACTGATTACATAATCTTTATTTTAGCATATTTTTTAATATATATTTCAAATAATGTATATGTTTTTAATTTTATTAATAGTTTTATCCTCTAAANTAGTTTTATTTTATTAATAGTTTTATTTTATGGATGAAAAAAAAAAATTAAAATGCTATTCGTTACCTTCATATCTAAATATTGCACATTGTTTTGTCTGTTCATCTCTAAGCTATTTTTTATTTTTAGGCAAGATCTCTCATCTCGATAGATTATCAAAATCCATAATCATTTTATGAATTGTATTCTTCTTTTTTAAATTTTATATTTCTTTCAAGCATCGATTGTTTTTTTTCCCTTTAAAAAAACAAATAAAAGTTAGTTGAATAATTGTGGTCACAATCTGCATTATCCACTTCTTTTTTTTTACTCGAGCGAACTGAGCGAAAAAAATTGACCTCATTGAACATAATATCAAACCGAATATTGAATATCTAATTTCCGAATATCGAATTAAATATCAAAAGCGCCTTTTAATTTTCAATTTATTAATAAAAACTTATTTGATATAAATTAGTTATAGTTACATCTAGTAAAAAAATTGACCTCATTGAACATAAGAAAGAAGCAACCGAACATAAAAAGTGTTATTTTTGAAAACATAAATAAATAAAAAATCGCCTATTGCGCATCCGCAGTTACTCAAACCGGGAATATCTTCAGGTTAAAGTTAGTTAACTCTGGGTTGCAGTAACTCGCAGTTACGTACACGGTGAAATCAAATTTTGAAATCTAACATGGAGTTGCTCTCATAAAACCTGTTTTGAACTGTGACTGAGGTTAAGGGTCAATGGAGAATACTGGCGTAATATATTTTATTCAAATTAAATCCATTTTTTTCGCATGCAAAAATGGTAATTGCAAATGATTTTATTAAGCTAATAATATTGCTTACCTTATCAAATTAAGTAAAACACATTTTTTACGCACAACACTACATATAAGTACAAAAAAAAACAATAGAAGTTTCTAACACAATAACATCAATATAATATTCTATTAAATCTCATTAAAAACAACATTTAAAATCACAAATGGCAAAATTTCTAAACCCAATATGCGTTTCCATTTTAAGTTGGTACACCTTCATCAGTAACTCAAGTCGCAGGATTGCAAAACAGAGATGATTTAAACCGACAGAGATTAAGTCACACTATAAAGATAAAAACACAGTTAAAGGTAAAACATTAAATTGACAGTAAATGTTAGAAAATTAAAAAATTTATGATATTTAAATGTTTGAAAAATAAAGTATATCAACAAGGTCATCAATAGTTCTTGATGATGTGGAAGCTCTAGTGAAAATCCAGATCAAGGCATGAAATACATTTATGCATGAGGTGAAAAAAATCAAATCTACCACTTTCTGTCCAGCAAAGTTTTGTGATAGATGAGCGGTAAAGTTTCGGATTCATAACGTAGCCTTCATGTTCTTTGAGTCAAGATTTAAGTGCTCATTTAAATTACCTTGTGTATGGAAGTCCACTCTGAAATGAAATTTTGTAAATTATTTGTTAATGCATTCAATTGGTTGTTTGAGGTTTCAGAAAGTTATTTCAATGTTCAGAAAAAAAAAACTTAAAGTTTGCGTTTTTAAAGTATTTTTGAAATTTGTAAGCTATTTTTTGGAAGAAAAAAAAGGGCACAACAAAATTACTTGTTTTGGATTTCATATATTCAGATTTAGGAACTAGCTCACATCATGTTTTAGCTTTGTTATAAATTCATTTTCATTATTTGCCTAGTTTTATAAATACTGCAAAAATATACTATAAACTTCATGAAAAAGAAAATAATCATGAGGAAAATTTTATTTTTAACTACATCCTATTAGAAAAAATATTAAAGTTAGGAAAACTGAAGTCAGTCAATAATATTTGGCAGTTGTTGCAACTTACAAATGTAAGCATTATCTTGATATTATTTAAATGAGTTATAATAAACCGATACAGTTATTTAAATTTTTTTATGATATAATTTAAAGTTTCATTTTGATAGATAACTTTTATGTCATCAAATAACTTTTAATTACTTAAAAAGAATAAAATACTACTGCCTGTGATGAAACATTTCTTTTAACTCTAGCAATCATAAAAATAAAAAAATACTTCATTGATTAACCCTTTAGTTGATTTAGTTATTGAAGTGGCTCCCATTATATTTAGAGAAAATATAAAACTTGAAGTTCAAAAAAGAAAACAAGCAATTAATTTTTAAATATTTAATTTACTCTTTAAGTGTAAAATATACATTTTATTTTTTAAACCATTCAATTTATCTAAGTTTCACTACACTAATTCTCACCCTCTTACAATTTTTGGATTTTCATTCTAATTTTTTGGAACTATCTTCATGATTAACTTTTAACCCTCATAAACTTTTTCAGAATCAAAATTTCAATGTTGCTTATTGCCTGCTAATGACAAATGTCGTAAAATTTATTCCTTAACCATAAATGTACTGCACAAGGTTTTCAAAAATACAATTAAGGTTTGTGCAGAAAACCAGAGTGGACTGTGAAAAAGTTTTCATGTGAAGTTGAGAAAAAGCAGTGATTAAAAAGTAGAGTTTTCTTGTTACAAATAAAAACACTATCAAAATGAATTTAATTTCCGTAATATTGCATTTTAATTAAATTAAAAATTTAGCAAAAACTATACTAAACATCTCTAAACTTATGGGATTTTTTTTCAGCTCAAAGCAAAAGCAGATCAGATACAAATACGCTCGCCAATCTGCATAAGAAATAGGGTTTTCCCTCCTAAACAGGATAAAAATTAATAAAAAAAGAAATGACTGGAAAACAGAAATATTAACTTCATATCAGAACAAGACTTGAATTTAGATTAAATAATGTTGTAAAATCATGGAAAGTGCAAAAAATTTGTTATCGGATTTTTAGTGAAAAGAAAATATTTTATTTAAATTTTTTGTTTTCCTTTCTTTATGACAAATATGTCAAAAATGCTAAAACGCAAAAAATCAAAAAAGTACACTTATTTCGGCCGTCTTCTATTTTATCCATAAAAGTAAGCTTTTTTATGAAATTAATTTGTCTTTGTAATCTATAATCTGATTGTTTTTCCCTTCTTGTTTTTGACTTCTTTAAAAAAATCAATGAATATTTTCACTTCATGAAGAAAAAAAACATTCTCGGCAAATAATCTTAAAACCAGAAATAATCACCAATATTTTCCCTCATTCACATTTTTCTTTGAATCAACTAGAGGGGAAAAAAACAAGATGTGTTGTAGGAAATTTACTATATTTATTATAAAAACTACAATGCTTTTGACTTAAAAAAAAAAAAGTAATCAACAGATTTAGGATGTGAAATGAGCAAAATTATATTTTTTATAATATACTACATAATTATTATAAGAATATTACTACATAATTTTGAATTGTTATCCCAACTTAACTAATTTATGCTACCATTAAAAATTTCTGATTCATATTTATTTTTTATTGAAAAAATGTTTAAGTTGTAATTTCCTGTAATGCGTATTTATTCATAAAACTATGAACAATATTAATATTAATAGTTACTTCAAAGTAATTCTATTTTAACCAAAAAACATCGAAACTTCTAATTAACTTTTAGTTGCATATTTCAAAATAGGAAAAAGGTTACAGTGGTTTTTTTAATAATTGCATTTCAAAACAAATTCTGGAATTCGAAAGAATGCTTATTTGAAAATTCGCTAAATAATAATGCAAATTCCTGCAGATTTCAGGGAATTAAATTAAAATGTCCAAATAAGTAATACATTTTTTACACTACATACAACTACTAATCAGTCATACAAGTGAGTTAATCATGATTAATCTCACCTAATAGAAAATAAATCGAAGTAACTATTAATAATTAATTAGAGTTAATATCTACTGATTATTAATAAGAGTTAATTATTATGAATTCCTGAATAAGTTTTCTAAATAGTGAATAAGTTTGAATGACTAGTAATTATTAATAGTAATTATATTTTCAGACTGGATTAATCAACTTGGTAAGTAATAGATTTGATTAATTAAAAACCTTTGGAGTTAATAACTATTAAATATTAATTAGTCAATGACCTTAAACTAGAACTAGGCCCAGCACCCAAAAAAACTTCAGTTTAATTATTACATTTTCATGCACTAGATGACAATGTTCATGGTTTAAGTACAGTTCAACATTAAGGATTCACTATGTAAAACGTGATAAGAATATTTACTCTAAATAAAAAAAATTATAATAATCTTGTTGAATGTTAAAACAAAAGTAAATAGTTTTGCATGCATAATTTAATATAGGAGAAAGAAAAATCATTTGAATAGTTCTGTAGAATAACAATTCAACAACTTCGGAAAACCTAACAAAATTGTATAAAACAGTCAGGGATAAACAGTTAACCATTTTTTTTTCACCTCTTAACAATAACATATACAATTTACTTCATTGCTATCATTTGCTTTGCTAACGTAACATTTATGGAAAAAAAAAAAAGCTTAATGAACAATAAACAAGTATTTTTCAAACACATTTCTATAGCCAATTTAAATATTAAGGGATTCAACTATGTATCAGAAAAAGTAAATATATAATTTTCATGAAGAAAATATTAATATCCCATAATTTATTTAAAAACATTAATTTTTAATACTATGTAGCAAATTTAACGTAATTTTATATTGGAATTGCCTTTTTTTTAACCCACTGTAACAAAAGATACAAGAAATATGTTTATCTAAAGGCATACATATTTGTTGTTTTAGATCAACGATGATCAACCTTTTTTAAAATAGAGCTACTAACTGGAAAGAAATATGCATATACAGATATATATACATACGATAATGTATAAAAAAGTTTAAAAAAAATTTATTTACAGGTTGATTATATTTATGCAAATAGCCCATTTTTTTTCTACGTAAGACTGAATAGTAAAGATTTTAAAGAAAACTACATAATAAATAAGATTTATTGCCTTTGAAACATTTTTTGAAACAAGTCAAAGGTATGTTATATATAAAATAAAAATGAATGCTTTTAAACATTTAATTCTAAATAAATTGCCTTAATCCAGTTGATCTTGAATGAGAAAAACCACGAAAGTTGGTAAGCAAACAATAGGTGGTGCCCCTGAGTACATTTAAAAAAATCATGAAAAAAATGAAAAGTTTTCTACTCAAATTTAGAAAAATGTAAATAGTGCAAGAAATAAATAAATGAATTTATTTTCATGAAGATCTAACTTCTTGATTTTGAGGGCCTTTATACTCGGGCCTTGGGGTACTGTCCCGTTTGCCCAATAACAAGATAATTAAGGTAATGAAAAAGGAAAATTAAGGTAATGAGAAGAAATCAAGACAAATTGAAAATCTATAAATAGATGACAAAATCCTTCAACTATTTAAGTTTAGTTATTGATTTAAAAAAAAGGTAGCAGTAGTGAAGATATAAGACAGAGAATAATTAAAGAAAGAACAAGTTTCAAAAGAACAAATTCTGCCAACACTACACAAATTCTGAAAAGCACAAATTCTGGAGATCACCAAATATTAAAATAAAAGTAAAATTAGTAGTTTACAAAGCAATTATCGGGGCAGTCTTACTGTATGATTCAAAAACATGGAAAGAGAAAAATTAGAAGAAAAAAAATCGAGATACCTTTCCGAACAAATGTTTCAAATTTATTTTTAAAATTTTCTGGCTAGATAAGCTAAAATGCTAAATAAAGAAAAAAGCTAAAATAAAGAAAATAGAATAAAGAAATTTTAACACAGAAATGGAACTGGCTGGATCAAGTACTTAAGATACCCAGAAAAAAAGAACATCTGTTGCTGTCACATGAGCCCCAGAAAGAAAAAGTACTAGAGGAAGACCCATGCTTACTTTATAATGCATGATGTTAAACAAGTCAAAGATTTTCATGCTTTTTGGGTGAGAACAAGCCAAATCTGCTTCTAAGTACATGATTAGACAGAGAGATATGCTGAAGGCCTAATGTGCCATAACAGAATGAAACTTTAAAAATGTTTATTAAAATAAAACCTAAGTTTGTATCTTAGTTTTATTTATTATATTTTATTTCCAATCTCCACTGCAAAGACTTACATTTAAAAAAAAAAAAATTGCTATCTGCATAATTCAATGATTTGCCTTCATATAACATTTTTTTTCGCTTTTGATACATTTTAGCATGATTAAAAAATTAGAAATTAAATAATTTTCAGAAATGTTTTTTCCAGAAGAAGCAATATCTCCAAAAAAGTTAGCTTTCTCTGTTTTACTGAGTAATCAATCAAAATTAATTAACATTTCAACAAAAAAACTTAACATATCATGATTAAGAGTTGGATTACGAAAAGTAGACATATTTATAAGATGCTTTGCATGTTTTCATTTAAACATATAATACAAAAAAGTACATTATATAAAAAACGTAATGGAATAAATTGCAATTTAATCTTGAATTAATACAACTTGAAAAATTCAGATTATTTTTTAAACTTACCATAAAATTTATGAACTGTTCTTGAAAGCAATTTTTGTAAGAAGTATCGACTTTCTGCAGGCTGCATTCAATTCAAACTTTACTTTATTAGTTTATTTTCAAAATCAAGAAACTCACCACTTAAAATACAAAAAAAATTTTGATTAGAATATTAATAAAATATTTTAAAGGTACAGTCAATGGTTAAGCATAAAAATAAATGTTGGTAAAACATCAAACAATTAAAAACTAATTTTTTATATATGCTAGTGCAGAAATGTAAATCTCACTCCACAAATAAGAGAAAAAGTATAAAGCAACCAAATAATTTTTACCTAGATCTTGTACATTCAAGAAGTTTCATAATTTACAACTTTAAGATAATAATCAAAATTAAGTCTAGATGTATAAAGTACAATAATAATTCAAAATTACTCTACACAAAGCTTGAACGTATTATCTTAGTCAAAGATGTACCCAGTACATTTATTTGTGTTTAAATATTTACCTACACATTATTCATTAGAAGAAATTTNTGGTCCCGATCGTTCCGGATAATCGGTTCCCTACTGTATTATCTTAGTCAAAGATGTACCCAGTACATTTATTTGTGTTTAAATATTTACCTACACATTATTCATTAGAAGAAATTTTATTGAGCGTCATTTCAAAATAAATTACTTCATATAAATTATTTTCCTGAAAGAGTGCTACAACCCTTCAATGAAAAATCCTAATTAGGATTTAGACTTGTTTACCTTTTACACATTCCCAAATGAGAGAACATGGGAAAATGCTTTCTTGCCTTCCCACTTGTATCACCTCTTAAGTTTGTACACAAAAAATTAAACAGTCTTACTAAGGCTTAACTCTCAATTCAATAAGATATATCTGGATTATTACTTGAAGTGCATTTCTCCATTCCATTTTTGTATTAGAACATAGACAAATTTAGATCCAGAAAGTTTATAAAAGAAAATACCAACACGGCAAGAACAGGAAAAGAAACAGTCAAATCATAAAACTAACATCAATCTTATAAAAGCATCCATAAAGAACAATTCCAATCCAAGAAACGAACATGTATGCCTAATATCGAGACTAGTCCAACACTTCGGAAATAAAACTGAATCCTAAGTCAGGGTTCGATATTCCCACTTACCAGCTCATTGTTTTAGGCAAGTAAGTTTCAACTTTTAAAATATTAAGCTTTAAATTAAAATACATAAGCTTTGATTATAATGTTTGAATGAGATGAAGTGAAAAAATGTCAAGAAATTGCATTTTTCTCCTATATAGTACAAAGATTTTCACCAACAAAACCATTGTTTCTGAAAACATTGAAATCATTAGACAACCTTATTTTGATTTAATAATATTATTATTACAATAAACATGTTTAGATTTTTAAGTTACTACATTCTTTAAGGGTTTCGGACACAAAAAGTTCCTCATACTACATCAGATAACATTTTAAAAATTATTAATAGTTCGGAGCAAAATTTGTACCTGCTGGTAATTTCTGAACAGAAATTTCATGCCCTAAGTCATATTTTAGAGTAGGAGTCAGGGAACTGGCCTTGCATCAAAAAGGTTCTGGGTTCAAATCCCGGGCAAAGGTTTGGGTGTTCTTTCATCTATACTATTTGTCCTTACAGTGGGAGCAATGTTAACCTACCTAATATGGTGCCCATGTAAGAGAGGCCAACAAATCTGCCGTTCAGATAACTGTATGACGAAATGTCATTCCTCAGGTGGGCATTGGAGGAAGAAAAAAAAAGTTACATTTCAGTACGGCTGTTTCAAAGATCTATCAAGTGAAACAAGAAAAAGAGAAAAAAAAATTTTTTATATGCAATGTCATTTCAGAAGCTGTCACCTATAAAATCTTAATAATAGCCTTTTTTATGAAGCATTATTAAAAAGAGAGCAAAGGAGAAGAGTTACCTTTTGGAAAAATTAATTATATTTCTAAGAAAAATGCAAAAAGTTTATCAAAAGTAAAAATTTTTTAAATATGCTGCTGTTTTACTTATAAAAAAGCATCAACAGTACCAAAAATTAGATACTATTATCCATTTTTAGTTCTGAGTCTTTCATTTTACCATTTGTGATCTTTATGTTGTTTGCCTACACAGAGTCAAGTAGTCTCAAATTTAAGTTGTACATACAAAAAAAGTATCAACCAGACTGACATTTAGGTCTATTGATCCAAACAATCAACATTGCATCAACATTTAATAACAGTTCTATCTACTATCTATCCTATCTAATAGCAAACATTTTTACTAAAATATTTCTACTCACACATTAAGGCAATATTTTATGTCAGAACTCTTAGATGATCCGTACAATATCCTTTAATCATGTAGTATACAGCTAAGATTTATTCTAGTGGATCGACTTGTCAAATCGAAAGCATGAGGGTTTTTTTTCTACTTATGTAACCCTAAAATAAAAAAATTATAAAAAGCAACATACTATAATTTTTTGATCAAGTAATAAAGTGCACCATTTTTAAAATTTAAAATCATTTTAAAATATATGATTCTAAATATATATTTCAATCTCGAGACATAAATTTATGAAGTTATTTAATTTACTGAACACGACAATTTAATTATTATGCCCACAATTTATTTCTGTACAGATCTAATAGTATTTATAATTCAATTTACTTATGCAGGGCTCCCACTCAATTTCAGGAAAAAAATTGCTTGACTTTTCCAGATATATATCAGGTAAATTTCAATGAAAATCCAAAACATATTTTATCGATAACATTAAATTTTGCATCAGACAACTTTGACTTTTACCTGTAATGTTAAATATTAGATATTGTGAGCAAAGAAATATCATTGAATGAGGATAGAAGCATGGAAGTTTCACTAAAAGGTGAAATTTTAATAACAAATAATTGTTATACGTGTCAAAATTACTTAACTCTAATCTTAACAACTGATTACAGTAACTCACAATTCTGAGATTGGTCATTTTCCAGCTATAATGTAGGAGTATACAAAGTTCTTTTTTAAAAATTGCAATTTTCTCTGACAATTCCCTGCCGTTTAAAGAAAAATAAATTACCTGATAATTCCAGGTTTTTCCTGTTCCCCCTTACTTGCAGGAACCCTGTTATGGAATTAAAGGAGAAAGCAATTTTGTTTTCTTCATGAATGGAATTTTTAAGCTATAGTAACCAAACTGATCTAGTCTCTTTAATGAATAATCCTCTTTTAAGAATAATAATGGATTGAGAATTTTTATTGCAAGGTTTATTTTAGGGGCATGTCATCTGATTTTTATATAAAATCAGATGACATGCCCCTAAAATAAACTTGACTTTATTGAAAAAGATCTTAAGATTGATAACAGTTGCCAAAAATATAGATACCTAAAGAAAACCAAGACCCTCAAAAATAAAAACTGAAAACAATTCGACAAATTTCTTGTGATTACTAAAGCTTTGACAGCCCAACTTGAAAGAACCCAATAGAAGTTGAAAGAAAAGAAAAACGATATTATTTCTCTGAAACTCATAATCATAATACATCAATCATTTTTTACCTACAGCTAAAACCAAAAATTTTCAAAATTTGCAAGATTTCACATTTTAATTATAAATACATTATTATCAGATATCAAAAAAATTTAAGAAGAAACATCAAAAGTTTTGAATATAAATAATAAATAAATATCACAATTCTTCATCAAAATATTTTGTTCAAAATAAAACATATTTAAAATAAATGTATACCAAAAATTTAAATTTCAGACTAAATAAATAAAAACTCTGTTTTGAAAAAAGTCTCTTCGATAAGCAAAATAAGACTCAAACACTATGTTAAAAATTTGAATTTATTTCTGTACAATTCAATTTATTCTGTTCTTGACATTGTTTGAACTCACAAACTATAATAAATTTAGAAATAAAAAAATTGCTAAAATTATTTTTTTTTTCTGCATAGAAATTGGCAACTGAATCTGTAGGATTCAACATTCAAACTGACATTAGCGAACTGAAACAAAATACACAAAATAGTCCACTCACTTGAACTTTATCAGATTAAAGTATTAACAAAATAAATTTAATAAAATGATCATCTTTAAATTATTAACAAAACTACAAAAGTATTTTCAAATCAATTTGAATATATTTATATATTATGTTGACATAATTAGAGTAAAAATAAAGTAAAAAGTCAAAATATTGAATTTATTTACCTTAAAGACATTTATATACATTTGAGGCAACTTTATTTTTGTCAATGTTACATACAGTAGCTTCATCTTAATGTCAATCACTCATATTTCAACAATCTATCAGTCATTTGTATATATGTGTGTGTACATATATATAATTTGAAAACCATTTTGCATTGAAATCGTTAGTAGGGCTATATTTGATCACTAAAATTGTCACTTCAAGTTTGGTGAGAAAAATGCAAATCTTCTTTTTGTATGCAATACATGAACATAATTCTAGCTTTTAGCATATTAAGAATTTTAATAAAAATTTCGGCAATGTTAAGATAAAAAAAATATTTAAAAAACAAAACATTAAATCAATGACATCTTAAAGATGATTCTAATTTTTGAACAATGGAATTAATAATTTCAATGTAAACTATTTGCAGTGTCATTTTTTAAGAATCCTAGGCCCATCTTAAAAATGGGGACTTTTTTTCTCAGAAAAAAAAAGGATTTTTGAATTGTTTTTAAAAGTTCTTTTATTACAAAAATGAAACCAAATACAACATTCTTCAATGATAAAATAGATTTAACATATTTTTATTCCTTCTACCATTATATTTTATTACATTTATTCTAATTTGTCCATTCAATTTAAGAGACCATAGAAAACAATTCTGTTTGATAATTTCTTTTATTTATTAATTTGTAACTTTGTTATAATAAGGTAATATTAGAAATTAAAATAGCAAGACAGAAGGTATGTTTTTCTGTAAAAAAAGAAAAGTTCACAAGGAGTTATATGCCTCCCTCCCCAAAAAATAACACTGAATTTTTTTTTTTAAATTTATGCAATAATTCATAAATTACATTTTACTTAATTTTTCTAAATCTCATTTACTTTCAAGTCATTTTGTTTTTAAATTGTAAACAGATAAATTAAAAAAAAAAAAAAAAAAAAAAAAAANAAAAAAAAAAAAAAAAAAAAAAAAAAAAAAAAAAAAAAAAAACTTTACCAGATTTTATAGTTTAAAAGGGGACTCTGAGCCTACCCTTAGAACAGCTCTGTGTATTCACAATAAGTGTAATTTTAAACATTCTAATAAATATATAATGTTCATGGAAATAAGAAAATGATCTTTTTTACATAAGTAACACATTTAAAGTGTTCTTACGATCTAACAATTCCATAATAATTTTATACAGAGTCATATAAGAGATAATGAAATACTGAAATAATAAATGTAGAGAAACTATGCAATCAGAAAGAATTAAAATATAAATATAGTGAAAGAAAATAGTTTTAACTGAAAACAAAAATTTTGAAGATCATTGAACTATTTTGTTAAATCACACTTACATCAATTTTAGAAAGCTTATACGGTAACAAAATTTATGAAAAGTTTAGCAATTTTTGCACATGAAACTAAACAAATAAAATATGTAGGTGCATTATTTTAATAAAACACTATTAATGTTGTAAATGAATATAAATAATATTGTAATGTATTCGACTTTAATTTATTTTTTGAGATGGAGGTAAAGGGTGTAAAGAATTGTTCTTAGAGAAATGCAATTTCAGTCATCTGGAATAGATTTTTTTAAAAAATTTTAGCTTTTAATCAAAAATATAAATAGTCATTAAGCATATTCCTGACTACCCTTTAAATTAAAATTCATACTTAGTTGAAATTATCTCTCAACTTTGATTATCAGTGCTTGTCTTTGACTCAAGGAAAATATATGATATTAGGAAAAAATATTTTCCATTTTACAACTACCAGTCTTAACTATACAACACATTAAATAAGAAAGAAATTTACAAGCAAAGACAAGTTTAAACCAGGCAGGAAAGTTACAGCAAACCTTAAGTTTAATTACATGACATTGCGAGTAACTCAAAGAATAATGGTGAATAATCATGGGTAGGAAAATATAACCAATGCCATGTTGTGTTAGGTTTAAATTTTCTATTAAAATAAATAACTTATGTCCAGGAAAACAGTCTACAGTGAAATGCAAGATTTTAATGAGCAAATACCAGAATTTTCGAGAATTCAAAAATAGGAAGAGCACAAACAAATCATTGAATTGATATAAAATAACAGTTCAGACAGTATGTATCATGAAAAATAGAAAGTCATTACAATAGATATAAAAAATTTTAGCCTTCTTTACTATTACCAACCGGGTCAAATATTCATAACATAATAGCAAAATAATTCATGTCAAGTATAACTTATTTAAGAGTTTCACGTCAGTGGTCATTTTTGTATTACTTTTTCTTGTGATTGATACGACCAATTGGAAGCATACTGTAGGTATAAATAAATAAAATATTTTGATACAATACAAAATAAGCATAAACTTTAAATTTAACTTTAATAAATCTTTACATAACATTTTAGCTTTTGAAATAAATATATGTTTTAAATATTCTGTAGTTAAGATACACAATACTTTTTTTTCTCTGGTCACTAGCATATAAAATAATATACCAGCAGTAATTTTTTTTCCAATATAAAATGCATTAAATGTAATGCATAATGTTAACATCAATGTAAAATATCAATCTTAAAGTATTTACTTAAAGAAAAATCATGAATTATATAAAGATTGATAGTTTTGAAATAATTTGTTTCCCATAAAAATAAACGGTGAGAGAAAAAAATTGGACATCACACAAACCAGTTTTTACAACACAGTTTCTGAAATGATACATTATGTTTTTAAATTTTTAAGGGTGTAATAACATGTTTTAATAATGAAGAATTGCTGAACAAGATTGAAATAACAAATGATTTCAGCTAATAATTATGATTGTTGAAGTTGTGGTCTGGGATTACTTTGTAATGCCACACTAAGAAATGCTAAATGTCCCTTAGGACATTTGTTCGCATAATGTCCTTTCTCACCACATTTAAAACAAGTTACTTGTTCTATTGGTCTATATCCAGTTTTTAAACTATCTTGCAACTGTACACTAACTAATTGTGATTGTGTACTAGGCATAACTGCTTTATTAGTTTGTTGTTCTTCTCCTGGACGAAGTTCAATGGGCAAATTGGGGCAAGAAATAGCTTTATGACCAGGTTCTTGACAATAATGACAGGTGATTGTTGTCTTTTTGGGCAACGATCCAGGATCCTGAAGCGGCAAATCAAATTTAGGATGCATAAATTTACAACTTGGTCCTTCTATACAGAAGCCGCAAACGTAATTTGGACAAATGACTCTACGAGTATGTCGATGCCGGCAGTTAGGACCATGCCTACAAAAACCTCGATCATACCAAGGACAGTCTTTTATTTTCGCCTCTGGATCGATGTGCAAAAAAGGGCATTCTTTATTACTGCAAGCATTAAATCGAGAATAAAAATAACACTCCGGCATTTTACTCATATCATATTCGTGTAAAAACTCGCACTGATCACCTTTTTTGCATAAACCCCTGAGCCAATGTTTACAGACAACAGTGCGGTCTCCTTTAACATGACGAAACGGACAAGCTGGACCTTTGCTACATAAACCTCGTAAATAAAAATCACAGATTGAAGACCCAGATTTGTCCATTCCAGGGAAGGGCAATGGTAATGCTCCTAATTGTTGCTCAAGAGCGATTTCGATATCGAACCGCAAATTATCGGAGTAAGCAACTATATCCTCCATTGTATAGATTTTTATTGAATTACAAACAAATACAAATAAAAACTAATACATAAAATACATGTTCAAATGTTGTCAACTACTGATTTTATCTTCATCTGTACCGCATCTTTCTTTTTTATCTTGTCTCATCGCTTAAAACTGTTGTAAACACGCTGTATGAGAATTAAAAATTCTAGTGTTGCCAACTTACATTACTTTAAGAAAGAATTTTAAAACGATCAAAAAGTCTAACCTTTTTCCTTTAAATTTATGCACTGAACAATATAATAATGAAATTATGTGATTTCTAGAATCAATAAAAGACAACAATAACTACATTCAATATACCTTATATCCAACCACTGAATGATTGAACATTCAGCACTTTTCTTACATATCGATACAATATCTTAATCCTTTCTATCTTTTTTCTTTCTGTTTTTGTTTATGCTGGCATAGTGGCTACAAAATATTTTGTGACGTGACCGGAGATTTCTTTTTAATTTTTCAAAATCTGTAAAATTAAACATGTTTAATGAGTGAAACATAGCAATTTAAAACTTGTAATAAGTCAATAATTTTTTTCGTATTTCACTTCTACTATTAAAAGATATGGCAGTGAGTTAATACACTACGCTAATATTTTCATGTGTTAAAATTTTTATATATTGTTAAAATTTTGCTTTAAATGCAGTTTTAGACATTGTTAAAAATAAATTTATGAGGATACTTCCATGTCGGAACCTGTTTGCGTAAACTGCATTCATCAAGGAGCTAATTTTTTTTTTTTAAACTTCCAAAAAAGAAAAAAATTGGCTGCCCTGAGGTTGTTACGAATTAAATCCTCTGTTCTGAGATATTTTTTAATCTCTTGCATGCTAAGGCATGATGATTATTTTGGCGTAGGTACCAATACGAAGATCTCTATAAATATAGCAAGGACTTTAAAATCTTTTTTGCAGACTTTCTCATTGGTTACCTTATTATTCTCAACCATTATTTATTTCTCAGTAATTAGACGAAACTAAATATTAATTAAAACTAATTTCAGAACAATTTCTTGTATTTTCTTTAGAAAATATTCTATTTTTTGTGTATGTACCTTTATGGAATCATACAGGGGTACAATATGACTGGAACATTCTGGAGCTTTCTGGGAAGCCTAGTCAGAATGACATCCCTGAAACTTAAATCTGATTAGAAGATTTCCATATTGGTACCTGCACTTAAATAATAGAAGTCTTATGGCTCCCAAGTATTAGCACAGGAGAAAGTATAAAAAAAAATCACTGAACGGGACAATAATTTATTGGCAAAAGCTTGTAGCCAACCAATTTTTTAAAAAATTGTTTGGTGCATTGACGATTGTAGTTGGCTTGAACAGGTTTTAAAATGGAAATATTCCTTGTGAATTATCTCTTTTTATTTTAAGGGACATTTTCATGTCAACATTTATTTGCACAAACTGCAATCATCAAGGTAACAAAGATTTTTGACTTGCAAAATTTTTTGAAAAAACTGTTGTAATTTGCTCTTGGGTTGCTACAAGATGTACCCTTTGAATTGGCCCCTTTCTTTGATTCTTATTTCTCATGTGCCATTGCATAGAAGTCGCTCTTTGTAACACATATTTCATTGTTTTGCTCATTGTGACACATATTTTATTTCAGAATCTTTATTATCTAATTTGATATATCATGGGCTTGTTCAAATATTACGTTATACAGGGATGAGATTTTTCTGCTTTTTAGCGGATTTCCGCTTTTTTCCCTTTTATCTCTTGAATTTCAGTTTTTTTTTATCAGAAATTCAGATTTTCTAAAAATTTCACTTTTTTTTATAAGTATTCCGCTTTTTCAGAAAATTCACCGATTTTCAAAGAGAAACAGAAAATTCAAACTACATAGCTACCAATCCTTTCTCATTTTTACTTATTTGAACTATTTTCTCCCCTTTTACACGCAGCAGATAAGATTTTCCGAATTTTTTACCCGCCTTCCAGATAGATCCGATTTTCGTAGTTCAAACGACGCTGCTTCTGACAAGCCTTTTAGAGGTCCCAAGCCTGGAATCTGATAATATCTCGATTGTTATTC